TAAAACTTATAGAAGATTATCCAAAAATACCCCCACTTTATGGATTAATAAACAGTACATAAGCCAGGTATTCCGATGAGGCCCATCAAACCAGGAATACATAGCAAATGCACACTTATAAAACTAGCCAACCCATTTGCCAAAATTTTAACAACATTCAGTCAGTTATGTGCCATACGTGATACATGCTTAGGTGATCATGTATCTTTTTATACACTACTGATGAGGCAGATTTACCGCAGTAGGTTGCCATTTCTTTCTGTGGTAGACCAGTTACCATTCAAGGCTATAGGACCCAGTCTGTCCTGCTATTTACTCATTGGTGGGGAGGGAGAAGAAGAGGATTCCTATCTTTCCCAAGGGCATTAGCACATAAATGAGTGTAATTGATTCAACTTGAATTTGAACTCGGCTCTTTGAAAGTTAAAGAAACTCCTTAACAAATTACGATACTCAAATTTCAAAAATATAAAAACATTATGGAACAAGAAAAACTTGTATTCACTTCAAACAATAAAGAAGAATACAATATTCTCTTTACTATGACAGAACTAAAAGACTCCATAAACAAAAATAAAAACTCTGCAACTGGTCCAGCTGAAATCCATTATCAATTTTTAAAGCACCTGCCAGAAGGGTCTCTTTTAATACTTCTTCAGATCTTCAATGATATATGGTATTTCAGACAAATTTCCAAAATTATGGCTTTAGTTTATCATCACTCCAATTCCTAAAGCTGACAAAGACCATTGCAACACAACAAACTACCAACCCATTGCATTAACAAGTTGCATTTGCGAATGGTAAATTCTTGACTAATGTGGTATTTTGAGAGAAAATCTCTTATCTAGTTACCAAAGTGGATTATGGAAAAACCAAGGAAACAATAACCAGCTTGTATGGCTAGAATCCTTTATTCGTGATGGTTTTGTTAAAGGTTATTATGTGGCATCAATATTCTTCAATATTGAAAATGCCTATGACATCACATGAAAGTATGGTATCTTAAAAGACCTGCACAAGATTAGAATAAAAGGAAGAATGGCTATATTCATCTAAAACTTCCTATCAAACCAAACATTCAAAGTACAAAATGAAAACAACATCAGACATGCACAAGCAAGAGTACCTCAAGGTAGCATTTTATGTTACATTATTTATTCTCAAAATAGTTTTATTAAAACCTTTAATACAGGAATTGAAAAATGTCTATGTAGATGATTTCTCAATATCATGCTCCTTGTCAAACATGCCTTCTCTTGAAATTTAATGTCAATAAAGAACCTTTGTTCTAAGAGGAATTGATCTGTGGTGACCCCCACCAAAAGATACCAAAATAAAATTTGCACTCAGTGTCACACCAGAGAAGTTTGTTGCATCAGTAGGTTGCTGTGGAAGATGGCCTCCTAGCCTTCAGGTCACAGCATAGAAAGTGGAATTGGTAAGTCAAGTTCAAACTTAGTTTTCTTCTGATTATCTTTACGTGGGCTATTGTCCTGTTTATTTGCTTTTAATTCCGTTTCATCTGTTTTTCAGATTTCGATTTGAGGTTGGATTGATTTTCTGTCAGTTTTCTGTTTTGGTAATTTCTCCATTTGAGAAGTTTTGAGTTCTTTTGTTGTGATGATAGAATACGGAGTGTTCCAAGAATATTGGCTATAGCAGAGGCTTATGTTGTAGATCCAGTATTTAAAAAAAAAGACAACAAAAAAACAGATTGTTGCTTTTGTTTCTTCAAGCATTCTACCTTTTTGATCTGTTTGTTTGCTTCCCCATATAGTATTAAAGTCTGTTTATCCCCCCCCCAAGTAGTATGAAATGTTTGCATAGAGGTATAAGTTTGTTAAGCTCGTTTTTATCGATTAGATCATAGGTTGATTTCTCTATGTTCTGTTGCTTTAACAGCAATTGCATGTAGTTTAGATTCAAGCTGAATTTTGCCCTGATGTATATTATTTCTGACCAGAACTGATACACCACCAGAGTCCAGTAGTGTTTACAGTTATGTTTCATAATTTTTTAATTTTAGTTTATTACCCTTAAGAAAGGTTTCTTGTAAGCATACAATGTCATGGTTTAAGTTAGTCAGCAATAGTGAAAGTGCATTAAATTTTAGCTTTATTCCATTGGATTATTTTGCTCTTCATTATGTGTTTAGTGTGTTCTCTCTTTTCTTTGGTTTCTTTCTTGTGGTATTTTAATTGTCTTCATTCCTTCAAGCAATATGAATTTATCTTTAGTTTCTATCAGGACCTTTTGTTTAAACGATTCTTTTTGGTTGCAACGTTTTTTCTTGTGGGAGTTTGTTGTGTGTTGGCCTGGGATTCTTTCTTAAAGATGACCCTGTTTTTTGGTTATCAGTTTCCATATATTCCATAAGTTTTATACTGTTTCTTTTACTTATTTGTGAACTTAGAGTATTTTCATTTTGTTTTTTTTTTCTTCTGATTATCTTTACGTGGGCGATTGTCCTGTTCTGTTTATTTGCTTTTAATTCTGTTTTATCTGTTTTTCAGATTTCGATTTTGTTTTGTATTGAGGTTCAATTGATTTTTGTTCTGTCAGTTTGGGTAAGTTTTGAGCGTTTTCTATTTCAGTTGTTGTTAGTGAATTTTGTGTTGGATTTACACATCATTTGTGATAAGGGTCGTTTCAGAGTTTCAAATTGTTTTTAATACTTTCAATATGTTTTTTTAATTCTTGAATTAAGAATGTTAGTTCTAGTTTTTCATGTAATTTGTTTGATATCAAATTTTCATGATTATAGCTTGATGTTGCTTGGGTAATTTTTCATATGATGATGCATTGAAGTTGGTTCCAATGTTTTTCCTCGCTTCTGTGAAAGGTATTTTTTTTTTTTTTTTTTGGTATGTTTAATTCTTAAAATGTCTTTCTTTTTTCCAGGTCCCTAAAAGTTGCCCTATAGTTTGGCTTACAATTAGGACATTTTGTATCATTCGGACACATGATCTGTCTGATTAGCGATCATTTTTCTCCACATTTTCCATATACTGACTTCCTTGTACATTGATTCTTACCATGTCCATATCTTTGGCAATTGAATCACCACAATGGGTTTGTAATATATGTCTACTTTGGAAACCGTATATCCAATTTTTATTTAATGTGGTGGTTCTGGTTAATCAAAAGTAATGAGATATGTATTGGTGTCTATAATTCTATCATTTTTTTAATAACTATTCTTTTTATATCTATAATGTTCTGTTTTTTGAAAGAATTATTGTTTTTAATTTCCTCCAGGGTATACAGTGAAAGTTCAGCGCTTCTCATTACACCTTTGAAAGAATTTAAAGGTGTGTGGGTAGACCTTTACCTTTCATGGAATTTAGTCATCCTTAGTAGAGTTTCAGCATCATGTTTTTCTTTTACTTCTATCAGTAGTGTAATATTTCGAGATTTTTTAAAACTGTTTTTGATGTTATCCAAGATACTAAGATTTTTTTTCTATTACAAAAGGTAACAACTTTGTTATTAGTTTGTCTTTTCTTGGTTCTGTTACTATGAATCTCAAAAATTTATTCTTTAATTGATTTTCTGTGTATCAATGTGTTGTATTTTGGGTTATTTTTGTCTCTTATTTTTGAGAGATAGATATAGAGAGAGAGATAGATATAGAGAGAGAGATAGATATAGAGAGAGAGATAGATATAGAGAGAGAGATAGATATAGAGAGAGAGAGAGATATAGAGAGAGAGATAGATATAGAGAGAGAGAGAGAGAGATAGAGAGAGAGAGAGAGAGAGAGATAGAGAGAGATAGAGAGAGATAGAGAGAGAGAGAGAGAGATAGAGAGAGATAGAGAGAGATAGAGAGAGATAGAGAGAGAGATTATATTATGTTATGATGATGATGATAATAATGCCATCCTTTCACCCACCTCAGATTCCAAAAGAGATGAGAGAGGAAAAACTATTTGGCTCATTTCACCAGGGCTACATGACTGGTATGCTAAAAGCTTCAACATCTGGTAATTGTGGTGGAGCATGAAACAGCCTGTTGCCGCTTGGTGTTGACCTGTCTCTACTTTTTATATATTGTGGGAAATTTAACGGATAAAACCTCGATACAGGGTTGTGACTTGATGAACAGAGAGAAAGAGATAACTGAACATTGTGAAAACATTCTTTATACAAGGAACACAATACATAAACATGAAAGAACGGATCAAAATTGCTAAAACCATTCCTTTGGCGGTTATTGTCAAAGGGACAAAATTCAATTAAATATCTGTTTGAAATAGATGACACTTATCTGATTTGGGTTTCATATTCTGCCATATTATTTGCAAGTGTTTCACATTATTCAGGTCAGCATTCCTGTTTTGAGTAGTCTGGAGACAAGTCTTATTGCTTCATATTCTTCCTGACGCCCCTGGTCTGGAGTCATCTAAAACACATCCATTCGATCCGTGTTCAAGTCTATCCATTGGCATTTAAAGTCCCAATTTCTATTCAATCTTGGGCTATGCCTACTATCACTTTATAACAGAATTTTATTTTTATCAGCAGGAGCCTATAGGGAGGGGGCCTATATTTTTATATCATGATTTTAAGCTGAAACTTTCAGAAATTAACTTTTAACCTCCTTTACCGATCTGGTAAGCAGTGGCAACATAAATTGTTCAGACTGAACGGCAAAACTTCAAAAGGAGTGAGAGAAGGTGTAAGAAGATGTTAGAAATAAATAAATCAAGTTTTATTGGCATGTGATCGATTAATGGATTTTCTATAGGTTATCAATCCTTTGCAAGTTACAAAGTGAGAAAAAAAAAAAAAAAAGGTCTTTTTAGATTGTGAGAATTTTTTAGGCTGGGGAGGGGGGTGATAATGATTTAGTAATACAACTCTAATTAACCCATAGCTGGAGGAGAAGAGGTGGATTCATAACTTTCCCCAAAAGGTATTTGTGTGTAAATGAATATAACGAACCCAACTGGAACTAGAACTCTGTATTCCAAGCCATTATCCGTTACACCATCTGCACCTGGTATTCCCAAACAGTTACCCATCTAGGTACTGACTAGGCTTGACTTTGCTTAACTTCAGTGATGCTATGGGAACCTGTGTTTCAACACTATCTAGCTATAAGCCATTTATTGGTGAGTGAAAATACCAGTTAAATGTATAAAAATAAGTTTTCTTATTGCTAATAAAAAGAACCGAATTAACCGAATTAACTTTTGTTTAAATAAATAACGTTTGTTTTTGCTTGAATTTTTCAATTAACTTTATCTCCAGCAAGCAAGGCAACATTAAAAAGACTAAAACAAAAATCTTCATTATCATCATTATATATTATTGTTGGCTTTATTTTGTATCCAAGAATTTAATTAATTTCTTCTTTGTGGATCGCTTCATCTATGACGATGGTGTTGATGACTAAATTCACTGCCAATGTAGAGATTCAGGACTAGAAACTTTGCCAAAACCTGCTTCCATCATCCATTCCTGGCGCCATTTGGCTTTCAAGAATTTTGGTTGGAAGTGAAAGAAAATCAGAATAGAAAAAAGTGCCAATGGCATTGATTTGTTTAAGGTGGACCTCAACTTACCAGGAAGTGATCTACAAAAAGGTGACCTTAAAATATACATACACACACAAAAAATTTTTAATGAATTGGTCAACCCTGTCACAAGGGTAAATTTTCCTTTCTATCTGGCAAAAATACTTTGGTAACAGATAAAAGCCAAAACAAGCAAACCTTTGAAGTCATTTTTTATGACTCCTGTATATAAACTAGAATGGCCAGTTCTGTGCCCTAAAACATCAAATTCCATGTTCTTCTGTGACGATAAACTTCAATTTTCCATTTTTGTTTCAAAATTGTAAAACACGTGAAAAACAGACTTGCGTGTAAACAGTAAAATATACAAATATATAACCTACTTATATAGGCACCTTTTATTTTTTTTTGCGCTTCAGCGATTTCTGATGATCCACAAGCATGTCCCTCTGAGCCCAATCTGTGTGTTGACAAAAAACTGCAAAATAATTTATCGCCATCATGATAAAGATCATCACATAAATCTGGCCCTTCAGCTTTGTATTTTGCTGAAAGTAAGCACCCACAAAGTTTGCTAGCTTTTTGTTTACTTATCAAGATAATCAAATTTAATTACTGATGTAATGGAATAACCAGTCACCCCACCCACGAATGATTACACTATAGGTATTAAGTACCTATAAAGTCAACTGCCTACGAGAGACGGAGAGAGGAGAGAGCTAGACGACGCAAGCATGTCTGACCTTCCAATTAGTGGCACTTACTACTACATTGACCTGTGTGTATAACTGTATCGTATTTCATATTGTACTTGTTGTATACGATAAACCTTTCTTCTAGTATCCACCTGGTGTTAAGTATTTATTCCCTTAGCACGGAATATAACAATTACCAAACAGACAACAACTTTTATTTTTATTACCCTTGACAGCACATGCCACGCTATTCATATGCTAATATTGCACATGGGTATTTGACCAATGGTGACAGGTTTGGCCAGGTTAATATTATGAATTAGGTTATGGCACTTGCGCAGAACTGAGATCAGTAGTGGAAAATACCCCATGTTATTTATAGAATGACATGTTGCAGCAATAAGGGTCATAGCGCTTGCACATAAGTGACCAATTCTGTCAAGTTCTAATTCAGTAATTTTGCATATTACCATTGGTATATTTTATTTTTTAACACCAAAAATCCTGTTTTCTGTGATTTTCCATGTTTTGCATTTTCTACTTGATTTCAGTGGTTTTTTTTTTTTTTTACATTTTCTGTATCAAAGAGAACTTATCACTAATTTAAACTGAATATGTACTTGCAATAAATATAAGGAACAAAAAAAAAAAAAAAAAAAAAAAAAAGACATTTGATCATGTTGTCATTCAAGGAAACAACAGGTACCAAACTATCTTTGTCCATATTTTTGAGATGACGTATTGTGACTAATTACATTGTCCTCACTTTTATTGCCATATTCACAGCATTTCAGTCATTGTATACTCCAGGCTTCTTCAGGATCTGTCTATATTTCTGAGATGAGGTATTGTAACTATTTACATTGTTGTCCTCATCTTTATTGTCATATTGACAACATTTTGGCAGTTTTATCCAAAGAGTTGTAAGCAGAGGTCAACAAAAACTTGGAGAGTTGATTTACGGAAGGAAAATAACAGAAACTGATATATCCAAAAAAGAAATGGCATGTGAAACTAAAACAATATACCCCAGTGGATAAAATAAAGGGTTCAGTTTGAAATTCTAATGTATGGAAGAAGGCCGGAGCGTACAATGGCCGAAACATGAATATGACAAAGATGAGGATAGGTCTGAACAACATAAATAGGTATTAAAATAGTTTTATTTACAGTCTTTATCTTAGTGTGCATATTTATGAAGTTTACTGCAGAAATATTAATGTGTTTTGCATTACTTATAAATACTACAGCGACACAGGATTTGGCCTCTTGAAAAGTTGGGTTTTAGTACAGACTAATTTCAGACAAAACAAGTCTGTATAGACTATCATTGAGAAATGTAAAGAATTCAAAACGTGTTTGGTCCCAAGAGTTTGAACGTGTTAATGTCGTTATGGTTTTCCTCCAAGTTAATAGAGCGTGAGACAAAATAATTAATTGGAGGAAATTACAGGCAAATATGAAAATTTTTTAATATTTCTAAAAAATATTTATGGATGTTAGTAGGACGCATGGCTGAGTGGTTAGAACATTTGCCTTCCAACCATGAGACATGGGTTTGAATCTTACCCTGGTCAACTGTCAAAAAGGTAACTTCTTGATGTTATCTGCCTGGAGAGGTGATCTCAGCATGCGGCAGCACCTTTGGAAAGTGCCTGAAAAACAATACAAGTTGATCCAAGCCTTGTAAGTGAAACTGGGTGGATGGAACTATTTGTGAGCCATCGATGGTTCTGCTAGCACAAAGTCACAAGTCATTGTGACCGAGGCTTCGAGCATGCTGGCCTTGTTCTGACTTGATCATGCCATTGCCAGATAATGTTCTCTCTCTCTCTCTGAAACTGCAACCAATGTTCACTCAGCATAGTTGCAATATAAACCACAGGCCAGCTCTCTGGGTTTTTAGCAAACACAAATGTGTCTGGGCAGCCGTCTGCAACAGGGATTGGCTAGCCACTTTAGTTCATAGGCCTATGTGTGTTGGAATAGCCAGCCATTATAAATATATATATATATATATATTTATTGTAGAATTTTGAATCCAAATAAAAGTGGAGAAAGTGGATAAAAGACGCCCATTTATCTAACGAAGATGAAACATGTTGTCAATAATATTACGAGACATATTAAAAAAAAAAACGGGTGAAGCAACCGGTTTTGCTCCCGCTCTTCAGGCTTCAACGGGAGATTTAAAATTGACACAGAAAAATGTACAATAAAAGGAATTGTCAAAAAAAAAAAAAAAATACTCAAATGTACTGTCGGTACGTTGATGACACTTTTTGTTTATTTAACGGTGAAGTTGAGGCCAACCAGTTTCTTTGGTTTTTAAATGGTATCCATCCAGCACTGAGGTTCACTATTGAAAAAATAGTCCAATCATCAATTGACCTTTTTGGATGTATTAGTACATAACACATTAACAGGTTTTCGTCTTCCGTTTATAGAAAACCTACTTTCGCTGGGTTGTACATGCGTTGGGACTCTTTTTGTCCCACTAAGCGCAAGATTAACATTATTAAAACCCTCCTACATAGAGCATTAAAGATCTGCTCTGAGCCTTTCTTGAACAACGAAATCGACTGTAATTTAGGTTATCCTCTTGATACTGTTAATTCAGTCATCCGTAGTAAAGTTGAAGAGTTCAGAAGTGCCAAAAAATGCCCAGTTTACCTCAGATTACCCTGGATTGGTACCAAATGTGAAAAAATGGCAAAAAAAAATTTCATTCAATGTTCGTCGTTGTTTTTTCTCTGCTGAAGTTCAGATTATTTTTCAAACTCGGCCTATGTTTCGATCTGCATGTAAAGACGTTCTCCCTCCCCATCAAATTAATTCAATCATTTACAAATACGTTTGTAGTTGCGGAGCCGACTACATAGGGAGAACAACTCAACACTTAGACATGAGAATAAAACAACACGTTCCTACAAAAATTAGAAACCACACCTTGCTGTTGAATGGACTCGTCCTGAACACCTATAGTTCCGCCATATGCGAACACCTATTAAAGAACGGAGATTGTGCAGCCAAATTTAGTGTTGACTGGTTCACCATATTGTCCCGGTCTCACTCTTTATTTCATCTAAAGGTTCTGGAGGCACTTTACATCGGGTCCCGCAAGCCTTCTTTGTGTAAACAATGTGAGTGTTTGTTGGGACTTGCTGTCATTTGTCTCTAGTTCCTTTTGCATATTTTTTTTTTTTTTTTTTTTTACTATTCCTTTTATTGTACATTTTTCTGTATCAATTTTAAATCTCCCGTTGAAGCCTGAAAAGCAGGAGCGAAACCGTTGTTTCACCTGTTTTTTTTTAATATGTCTTGTAATATTAAGTTTTATACTTTTATTTTATCATTAAATTTTGTACCTACAAAATATCTTATATATATATATATATATATATATATATATATATATATATATATATATATATATATTTGTATAAAAATAAAAATTATTCCAAGAGGATAGAATCCAGATAGAACTCAATGTCCAGGACAGAGTAAGGATATAATAAAAAGGCTTAAAAACTAATATTCCATGGTCATAATTTATTCCATGGGAATCGTAAATATGATCCAATTCATCAGACCTACAAATTCAAAAGAAAACAGAAAAAACTCCAGGAATAAAAAAATAAAAATTTTTTTTTTCCTGGAGTTGTTTTTCTGTGGAATATTAGTGTTTAAGCCTTTTTATTTTATTTATATATATATATATATATATATATATATATATATATATATATATATATATATATATATCTTAAGATTTCATATTTTAATAATTCTGTATCAAAATTAAAATGGATTCAAATGCAGAGATGAAATAAAAACATTCCCTCTTTATAATATTAATTCCATAACACTACATTG